CTTTCCCTTTCTCTCTCTCTCTCTCTCTCTCTCTCTCTCTCTAGCTCTCTCTCTGTGCGTCTGTCTGGTCAAATTTAAAAATAATAACAAATAAAATAAAATAAATAATACTTGTTTTAAAGTTAGATATTGTGGGGACCAGCAGGTGGCGTGGTGGTTAAGGTGCTGGACACTCCCACATGGCCAACCAGGGTTCAAGTCCTGAATCTGGTGGCTTGCGTTCTCGCTTCCTCTCTCTCTCTCTCAACCTCTGTCTCTTTCTGGTAAAATTAAAAAATAAATGAATAAATAAGATAAATCATTATTTTTTTTAAAAGTTAGATATTGGGGCTGTAAACTAAAATAAAACTTTTATCTAATCCTAAAGTTACACCTGTTTTCTTTAGAAACTTCTTTTTTAACTTGCCAGGGGGGATGTACACTGACCAGAGAGAGAGAAAGAGAGAATGAGAAGGTGACAGATCATCCCCTCAGGGAGGAAGGTCATGCTTCTTGGGATTTTAGGGACAGACACACTCATGTCCAGTGTGCTTTTCAGTCTGCCAGGTCTAGGACTTGAACTGCACAGTAAGCCATGCGGGATCCAGTTTCCCCAATTACCATGCTAACAGCTGGCTCAATATACATACTTTTGAATTTATTTTTAAAGTTAGGTGGATGTGGGGGCCAACAAGTGGCATGGTCATTAAGGTACTAGACACTCCCACATGGGTGACTACAGTTTGAATCCTGGACCTGGAGGCTTGCTTTCTCACTTTCCCTCCCACTCTCTCTCTCTCTGTATCTTTCTCTGGTCAAATTAAAATAAATGAATGAATAAATAAAATTAAATAATTATTTTAAAAAGTTAAATGGACGTAGGAAAGTCTGTTTTTTTGTTTGTTTTTAGAGAGATTTTTGCTATAGGGAGCATGTACTCAACAGAGAGACAGAAAGCGAGAAATCACCCCACAAGGGTGATGGCCACGCTGCAATCCCATCTCCTCCATTCTCCTCTTCGAATTTTGGGCACGCACGCACACACGACCAGTGTGAGTTTAAGCCACCAGGTCTGGAACTTGACCTGCAGTCAGCTTCATGGGAGTCGAGCGACATAACCATTATGTCATCTGCTGTTCACAGAAAATCTGTTTTTTGTTGTTGTCTGTTTTTTTTTTGTAAAGAATTAGTTATTTAGTTTTATTTGTTTCTATTTATTTATTTTTAATTTGACCAGAGAGAGCGAGAAAGTGAGATAATAAGTTTCCAGGTCTGGTCTCAAACCATGGTCAGCCATATGGAAGTCCAGTGCCTTAACCACCACACCACCTACTGGCCCATTTGTTTATTTTTTCATTTGGTATAGGGCAGGTATGCTTGCCAGGTTGAGAAAGAGAGAAAAACTGAAAAAGCACCTCCTAGGGGAGATGACAACCCCTTCTCTATTTTCCTCTCAGGAGTTTGGGCACAAACACATGTACTCACCATGTTTTTTAAGTAGCTGGACCCAGGACTTGAGCCATGCTGTCGGCCATGTGGAATCCACCTGAACCACTACACCACTGACTAGCCCTGAGAAGTGAAGGTCCTCCTTTTTAAGACATACTTGTACTTGGCAGAGCAAATCTTTATGAAGTGCAAGTGTTTTATTTTCACTCTTTTTTTTTTTTTTTTTGGAGAGATTTTTCGCTATAGGGCGCGTGCACTCGCCAGACAGACAGAGACAGACAGAGAGATAGAAAGCGAGAAATCACCCCCCAGAGGGGATGGTCACGCCGCAATCCCTTCTCCTCCATTCTCCTCTCGGGATCTTGGGCACACACGCACACTTGCCCAGCATGAGTTTTAAGCCACTGGGTCCGGGACGCAAACCGCAGTCGACTACGTGGGAGTCCAGCGACATAGCCATTACGCTAACTGCTGGTTCCCCCATCACTCATTTTTTAAAGAGAGATTTTTGCTATAGGGTGCAAGTGCTCACCTGAGACACAGAGACAGACAGAAAGAAAATGAGAAATCATCACCCAGGAGGGATGGTCATGCTGCAATCCCTTCTCCTCCCTTCTCTTCTTGGGATTTTGGGTTTACATGCACATGTACTTGGTGTGAGTTTCAAGTTGCTGGGTCCAGGACTCAAATTGTGGTCGACTATGTGGAAGTCCAGTGATGTAACCATTACAACATCTGCTGGTCCCTTCACTCTTTTTTCATTTTTTTCCATTTAACTTTATTTATTTATTTATTTTATTTGACCAGAGAGGGACAGAGAGAAAGTGAGAAAGCAAGCTGCCAGGTCTGGGACTCAAACCATGGTCAGCCATGTGAAAGTCCAGTACCCTTAACTACCACACCACCTGCCAGCCCCCCTTCACTCAGTTTTTAAACTTATGGCAATATCCTATATTGGTAAGTCATAGGCTCATGGTTATGTGGAAGGCTGCACAACTGCCAGAAAATGCCCCTTAGCTGACTTTAGCCATGGCTTTTTGTTCTAACATTTAAGTTGTCTACAGTGTTTCCCACGCACATCTTTGTTTGTATAT